TCGCATCTGTGAGTTTCCATAGCTTAAAACTAAATATAACCGGTTGAACAGAGGAATCGATTATACCCGTGTTGCTGGTAAATCATACCTATCGACAGGAGAATCTGGTCTCTTTCGATTCTCTGCCAAAGATAACGTAAGGAAAGTTCGTAGGAAGTGTTAATCTTATTAGTCACGATTTTCCAGGTAAAAATTCGTAAGAACTCGTTCTTCCAGTCATCGTCGGGATTAAAATGAACGTTGAACTAGGATTAATACGAAATAAAAAAGAAATACTTAAATCTTACATCAAGTAAAATAACGTAAAAGTAAAAAAAAAGTAAAAAAGTAAAAAAGTAAAAAAGATTATTATACTAATCTAAAATATCTAAGAGAAAATTATTCTTATGTTAAAATAGTATTAAATTAGAATAAAAAAATTATTAATATAATAAATATAATTAATATAATTATTAATATAATTATAATAAAAAAAATGAGATAATTTTTTGATCAATTTTATAATAATATCTGAAATAAAAGAACAAATATGTTAAGTGAAAAAAATTAACTGTTTTTTAAATTTAAAAAAAAAAATAAAAAAATAATTATATACATAATAATTTTCATTGCAATTCATTTATGTAATATAGATTACAATTATGAAATTTATTTTCATTCAAGTTTCGATTTTTTGAAATAAAATTGTGTATCGATTGAACACACATTTGAAAATTTAAAGAATTAGTTCAATCTTTAACTTTAAGCATTTAATTAATTCTAAAATGAACAAAGACTTTAAAAAGATTATTTATTATCATAATGAAATTATTATATCTGAATTATTACAACACGACAAATTATAATAGGCTTAATAATACAATAACATGATTAATTGGCATATGTTTTATAAGATGATTAGCATTATTATTGTAAGTACATATTACCGATTGAATTTCAACATCATCGGTTTTATAGAATTAAATTTAACACGAGTGAAATATTAATAACTTTACTCAAAATTATTATTTGCATAATAATAAATTATACTAGTTCAGCATGAAAATTACCTGTCATTATATTATCATTGTATCTTTATCTACTAATAATAGTAACGTTTATATTCTAGTAATAATAATAATTATATTTAATATTATATTTAATAAATGCTTAGTCACATAAATTTTTCGATAAAGGAAAATTGAATAATACACTGTTATTAATAAAATATTATTATTATTTTAGTGTTTAACATAATTGTTATACATTAATCAAAATGATAAATTTAAGCATTATTCAATTATTCATAAACAAACGTGGCAAAATAGTAAAAGGGATTATTAGATTAGAGAAATATAAAAATTTTTTAGCTGTCAAATGATTTGTAACGCATTGAGAAGAAATTCAATTTTTCAAGTCACTATTTCTTATGAGATAAAACTTTTGTAGATCGTTCTTATCCAAATTTCCCATTATTTTGTTGCCAAATTTATGGTCGAGCATTTCGTATCCAATCATTGTTTTATAACACGTTCTTCCTCAAGATTATATTGCTCGTTGTTATAAATTACATTTTTTTAATGTTTGTCCAATGTGACTATATTTACTGACAACTGAATACAATTTATATCACTTTTTGCATTTATATGAATTTTGAAATTATGTAAAGAGAGATATAATAATATAGTAATTTTATTTTATTTTCATTTCTATTATTTGTTAATTTTATTTAAAACTTTATAATATTTCATTTAAAAAATAAGAATATAAAATAGTGATCTATATTTATGGAAACATTTTCCTTTATTTATGTTGCAGAGAAATGAATATCTATTCGAACTTTATATTCGTTTTATTGATTTTTCTTTAAAAGTGGAATTTGTTTTCTCTTATATAAATTATTGTTAAATACAATGATTATACATATCGTATCATTATAGATTCAACAAGTTGACGATAAATTTCAGCGAATTTTCGATTTTTCATTATCTGCTGTTAATAGCATTCTTTCAAACAGGAAATGAAAAAGAATATCTATTTACCTTCGATTTATTTATTTCCAGTTTCGAATATTTTATAAATACATACAATTTAGTTGCATTTTTTAATGTTATTTTTCACGTAAATATGTCAACGATGATCATTATTCATTATATTTTCGTCGGACGTTCCAGAAAGTGACGCTGAATTTTTCGAATATCGATTCGGTGAAGTACATTTGCCATGGAAAATAAGTTGACACTGTTCGAAAACACGGTTTTTCTTGTTCAAAGTGAAGCAATATAATTCAAAAGTTGGTAATAAATATGATTTTAAAGAACCTGTTGTCAAGCCACGATTTATCGTTGTGCATGCGAAGAATAAGTTAAAATAAATAAATTAAAGATGCAATGAAATAAATATTCAATGTTTCGTTTTACTTATGATTTAAAATTATTCGAAAATGACTTATTGTATGAAAAGATGTAAATATAATGTGAATAATGTCGAGAAAAGATAATTTGTTGCGAATGAATATATAGAAAATATATAAAAATTATTTTTTGTTCCTTTTAATTTCAATTTTTTACTTCATTTTTTAATTATATAAATTATATATATATTATATATATATGCAACTGTTTAGTTTTTATGATTTTTGATGATTACATTATATATTTATATTGATTAATTAATACGATATAATAATATAATTAATATATTTGTAATATTTACAAATTTATTATTTGCAAATTTAATATAAAATATTATATAAAAATAATATATATAAAAATAATATTTACAAATTTAATATTAAAGTGAAAATATCTTTTAAATGAATAATTTTTTTTGGCATAAATAGGATGTCTCTTTTCTAACAATCAATCAAAATATTAAAAATTATATAATTTTATTTAAAAGAAATATTTGAATATTAATTAGCTAATACAATTAATTGTTAAATCTTTTAAATATTATTGATTTCAAAATATTCTTTACAATCTTTTGGAAATATACTTCCAATTATTATTATAAAATACACAATTATTCTTATCCAAACATTTGAATATATTAATATTCAAATTTTCCTTGAATATTAATATATTTATCTTCCATTGAGAATTCATCATAAAATGGAATATTCTATAAACTACTTCTGTATTCGCATGTTTCGTGGTAAGATATAATTTCAGTTAATTTTAAAATATCTCTCGTTCTTTATTCTTTTCAAATATATTTTCATGCAAATGAAATTTTTAAAAAATTGGAAAGCAAGAAAAAAGCATTGTTTACACATCTTTTATTCGAAAACAGCTGTTCTTATGTGCATTCGTTTCATTAATACGTTTCCAACTTATTCGGCCATGCAAATCAGCTTCTCTAAATACGCAATTCGAATCTGTATTTCCAGAGGGTAATTCAGTCTTCAATTGCTTCCGAGAAATAAAGGGGTTTTGTTTACTTCCTTTACTGTTAATCGATCTCGAGCTATAGTAGGTATTACGTGGCCTTTCTCTGATCGTGGAAAGTTTTCTACAGATTTATTTTTGCCTAGCTGCACTGTATACTTTTGTTTGTACCTCTTGCAATAGAACTATAATTTACAACGATTTTCTTCCTATATCTTTCACATTCTATATCTAAAAATATCTATTTATCTGTTGTCACATAAGAAATATTAAAAATATTATATTTTATAATATTAAAAATCATCAATACAAAGATTTCTAATTGTAATTGAATTACAATTAGAATTGTTTTAGAAGAAAACAGTATTTAAGATAAAAATGATAAAATTTCAAAATTTATCAGAATATTTCTAATTATTTTTGTTTGGATACATATTATGAAGAATAAAATAAATTAAAAATATTTGATTTTAAAAAAATATTAAACATAATAAACAATCAATTTTATAATTAGATAAAAGTTTTTTGTAATATTAACTGAATATTTATTATAATATTAATTTGTATAATATTTTCTTGAAATATATATTATTTCTTCATCGTTAAATGATAAAAGATCAACTATTTTTACAATAATCCTATTTTATCATTTAACTTCAACAACAATTTAAATAAACCAATTCAAAATAAGCCCGCGGCTATTCCAAAATTTAAAAAAAAAATCTCTCTGCAATTGAAACATTTTAGTTTAAATTTGTGTTATCCAAAGATCAGCTGTATTTTTGGCATCGAGTATAATCCATGGATCGACCGAATCAATGTCAGGATGTAATAACCTACCCGAAACGATAACGCCACATGTTTTCCTCGATGTCACCGTGGCTCTAGTCGTATCGTTATAGAACGACGAAACACAGCACTTGTTCCTCCAAGCTTAAATCGTTTGCAATCACGATCGATGCACGATCGATTTTCTATGCAGAGTGTTAAGATGAGTAATACAAGCGAAAAAAGAAGAAGAATAAAAAAAGAATAACACTTTTTCGATTGTGGTTTCATTTAAAAAATTTCTCAAAAAGAATTAATTAAATATAATATTATTAATATATTATTCTGAACACATGAAAATATAAAATATAGAATCAAATTTTTGTTTTTCAACCATTGATTTGATTTTCAATCATTGCAATTTATAGATTTTCAAGGAAATTGAATTTTTAAATTCAAGTATAAGTATCTGACTACTTTACTGTATATTTTCAATTTCCAAGATGAGAATTTAAATACACAATTTTATTTTATAATCTTTTACCGATAATTTATCGTGATAAAAAATTGGCTAAAATTTAAACGACAAAATTCCATTCCTTTTTCTCGACTTATTCTTACACGTACGGTCATCCTCCGCTTTGTATCACCCTTCCTGAGACATCCTGTGCACCTCATGACCGACTTTTCCTTCTCACGGGCCGGAAACGCCCCGAGACGAAGAAGTGTGAAAGCTGATTCCGCCACGATGCCGTAAATCACCGGTGGCGGATATATAAAACCGATTATCGAAACTTGGCTAATGCGATTTTCCTGCCGTTTGCTCGAACGCCTGCTACACCACCGTGCATTAGTTGGTTTCAGATGTGTGTCGAATCGACAGAGGAATGATTGTTATTTACACGTGGCCGTTGGACGAAAATTATTATTATTACCCGGTTTATAGAAATTTGCCGCCTCTACAAATTGATACTCGCGTTCAACAAGTGATCGATAATCGGGGGATGATTTGTTGCGAGGTTTGACTAGAGGTTACTAATTAAGAGTGAATTTAAAGGGGAAAGTTTGAAGGAAATTCACTGTGTTATTTTCCTTCGTTGTGAAAGTTTTTGAATTAAATCGATGAATAGAAAATTGATTTCGCGGGAAATTGGGTAATATTGTCTACTTTAAGGAAAAGTTGAATTAATGTTTTTTGACGATTCTTTTATTTTTTTTTTTGAAAGTATATTTTCTGCTTGTGAAGAATACTTGATAGAAAATAATAATGATTTTTAACGTTAGATGATACGTTATTATTATACAATATTTTTTAAATACGTATTATAAATAATGTTATAACTTAAATATAATTAAATTGTTAAGAAAAAATCTGAATAGATTATGCAAATGACATATCTAATTTAACTAACAATTTTGCACTCCTGTTATCCTTTTGACAATTTATTTAGCTCGATATATAACTTTCATAAATTCTTCTTTTGAAAATGAAGACTCAAACGAGCAAAATTTATTCCCTCTTTCATCTTATCTTTCCTCGTAAAATCACTTCCTGCCTTGTTGCGCCGAGACACCTTGTATTGCTCCAGTTTTATCGTTCACAGGCGTAATGCTAACGACCTGCACGTTTGTATGTATACGTTACAACTAGTCGTTAGCCGTGGCGAAAAGGTTAACTATCGAAAAAAACGAAAGAAAGTCGATCAATATTTTATTATTATTATTATTATTATTTTTTTTTTTTTTATTTCCACGAGCAATCTTCGCCAAACGTATCTACGATTTGTTACAGCCGATGCTATAAATATCTGAAATTTGAAAAGCAACATAAATCCATTAATCAAACGTACGAGATTCGTGGATACACAAGATTCATGTTTTGTGTCACAACGATAAATGAATTTCCACGATATGTGGAAATGATGACATAAAACGATAACCATATTGATATTCCGTCGTGATTGTTTCGTACTGATGAAACTGTATTTGTTAATTATATAATTCGTTATATTCTTCAAAATTCATTCGTTTTAATGACTAAGTAGAATTGTCTATGAATGATTTTTCGCATATAATAATATAATGGTTTAAGAATTTGAAAGAGAGTTTATGCAAATAAAAAAATTATAGTGATGATAAAGTTACGAGCTCGTTGTTTATCGTCTACTTAAAATGAAACGAAGAAAAAGGGTGAATTAATGCGATTATTCAGAATGAAATGTCTGCTTTAATTAAAAGAAATCCAGTGATACACAAGGGATAAATAAGTAACTGTATTAAACAGCTTGGTATAAATTAATCTTTTTACAAACAAGAAATTTTATAACGATCGTAAATACGGTTAATTATGACGGATTTATTGCGAAGAATTTATATTAAAACGAGAAAATAATTTTTATAATTATTAATTGTTGAAAATGAGAAATGGAACGAAAGAGAAATAGTAAAGAAAAAACAGATTGTTATTCTTATGATAAGAAAAGCATAGTTCATATTCATATTTATTTTTTAATTTCTTTTTTAATTTAATTGATAATTAATTGATAAATAAAAATCTCTATTTAAAATTTAAATATAATTTGTATAAAATTATTTATATTATTTTTATTTTATTATTATTTTATTAATTATATAAATAAATAATATGCTTTTCTATTTTATGAAAAAAAGTTTATTGAAAGACATGGAAAAACTTCGATCGAAATTAACTTCACTGAATAATATGAAGTGAATAACTTCACTTCAATTCTATAAAAAATAAATTGTTAAATAATGTTTAATTAAAAGAAATTGAGTTTTTTATAATGTTTTGTAACTCTTTTTGTCAAAATTTTCATATAGATCTCATTTCATTCAAAGAAGTGGATTTCATTTACAATGATTTAATAATAACGCAGCTCATATCGATTTTTTTCAAGTTACAAGCCCATTCATCAAGTTTTTGACGTAATCAATTGAAGAAAGATAACATATTATCGTTGAATATCCATTTTTATAGCGATCTCTCTTCATATTTGATGAAGATCATTTTCCACCAGTGCTATTAAAGCATCGTTATATACTCAATTATTATGTTTATCGTGCAGCTCGTTTTGCAGAGAGAAATCCCCAGAACAGAATATTACAAACCATCGGTGTATTTTTCTTTCGTTAACGGTATTTTCTCCAAATGCTTTATTTACATTGCTTTAGTTATCATTAGAACAGCTTTATTTCCAAGTTTGAATTAATTATATTATATTAATAATATTATTAAATTTTCGTCGAAATTCGTATTAATAATAAATTATAAATAATTGATAAAATATAATTTTAAAAATGTAATCATAATTATATCTATATATATAATCATATCTATAAATATAATCATAAATATATATAGACATAATTATATCATAATTATGTCTATATTTAAATGTATTAAATATTTCTACATATGTATATTTTAATATTTATATATATAATATATTATATATATATATATATATATATTTTAATATTTATATTGATGTATATATTTAATAATAATTTATAGATCAAATCATTATCGAAAAAAGAAAAGAAGAAAAATTCGTTTGAAATTATTATATAATTTTTTAAAGATATTTTAGTTAAATATATTTTAAAATATTTATAGTAACATTTAAAATATTCCGATAAAAAAGAGAAAAAATATTTTGTAATTATATCGAATGTATTTCAATTTCACTGTTTATTTCAACTCTATTTCACTACCCACCATCTTTTACGCATTACCAGATCCCAAGAACGACCACCCTCGGCCAAGACTAATTAGTGCAATTTGAAATATTCACATTACGCGATCCTCGTACCTGTTAAAACGTTCCAGTCACACCCAGCACTCACGTTAATTCGTACACACCTACAATATTCAGCCAAGTTGGAATTTAATACCGCGTCTTTCTCACGTTAACTGGTCGTTCTTGCTTGTCGTGTGAGGAATTTATCTAATAGTTTTATTTGAAAAATTCACTCGAAATGTTTAAACTGTAAAATAAAATGCTTTTAAATAATATTAAAAATGAAAAATATTAAAAAAAATATAATAATTTTTATCGTAATTTTAAACATTTTTGTACAAATTATAAATTAATATCACTTGGATCAAATTCATCATATTCTGAATAATATTGTTAAATTTCAAATTGAATAAGTTTAATGATTTCACTATATAATATGTCATGAAATATATTTTAAGATTGCAATGCATTAGTTTATTCCATTAAATTATGATAAATTACTACGATCGATCGAAAACTTTGATTTTCTTACCAATTAATACTTTACGAGTTATCCAAAATATCAAATTATAATTGAATATATAATTCCGATATTATCGATCGAGCAACGATTTCATGTTCGATATATTACCCGAATTTTTCGAGCATGGATAGGCGAAACGACATAGAAATAATTCCATTGACATACTCAATCACGACACCAGGGGATCGGATAAAAATGGAATTGTTGAAACTTACGACTAACGTAATAATTTGAACGATATCTCGCCGCCGCCTATCTGCATTTCAATTACGCGCCAATGAAGGCAACGTTTTAAAGGGGTTAATAGAGGGCGCTTATCGCGAGGAAAAGAGACAACCGACCTCGTTCGCCACTCTCGACCAAGTGTCTCTGAGCTAAGTGTAGGAAAAAGTGGAAAAATGAGGAGACATATATTAAATACACATACATATTCATACAGTTTCCTTTCCCAGCTTTGATACGATAACGACATTGAATTAAATACATATTGCCCTTTTCGCGGCGAGACGTGTCGATCTCGTAGCGCGAAATGTCAACTCGGGTTGGAAAATTGATTTTGATCAGCCTGTTCTGTTGTTCTTTCTTTGGCGGCGGTGAAAATTGCCGGATCGATTCGCTCGAGCGGAAGAATGTAATTGATGGGAAAGTTGCGTGAGAATTAATGGAGAGATAGCGGGAAATTTGAAACGAATGAATGGAAATTAAATGTTATTATCATTGGGAATTAGAAATGTAGTTATTTTTGTTGTTTTTTAATTCTTATTACATTAAATTTTTTATTTTAACAATCTTCTGGTCGAGGAAATTCTAAAGTTGAGATGAGAATCGATAGAAAATATGATTCGGTTGAAAATTTATTGAAAAAGTGTATCTGTACCAAACGAATATGTAAGATAAAATATAAATAATATTAAAATGAATTGAAAACTTAATATCTCAATTAATAAGGAATAAATGAGCAATGTGAATTACAAATATATATTATAAATTTATTAGTATAAAAATTATTGATTGAAATATATTAATTTTTATATCAATGCATAGTTAATAATAAGTTATATCTTTTTACACTTGTTTTAAAAAGAATATTTATATAAAGCAAAGAGTTCTTAAAAATTTATAACAATATAAATTATGTAATGATACATATAGTAAGAATATAAAGAATATAGGAATTAATTACAGCAAATGTAATTGCGGACGTTATTTGAATGTATTAAAAGCTTACGATAATAATTAATGAAAACAGTATTATTTGTATTGTATTATTTAATGATGAATACAAATGAAATCTGTTTTTGCTTTATTGATTTAAATATTAATTCACACTTCAAATAAGTTTTTTATTCTAACACAGAATTATTGTTCCAATATTAAAACAATATAGTATTAATACTAATATAACTAAATAAGTTAATAATAATATAAAGCGAGGAAAAATAATTACAAAAAATAATATAAATGATTAAAATCTCAAAGTAAATAATTATTATAATGATTACCATAGAAATATTACATAATTTATTAATATCTTACCATGTAATGTACAA